CTCTCCCAAAAGTACGATGCAGAGAGGGGTTGTCTGACATACATGGTAGATCCAGTCTTGTTCCACAGGTTTCAAGTTTTGAGAGTTGCGTTTATAAACAGATGCCTTCCAGCTATGCGAGATGAGTCAAGCTTATACAGGAAAAAGGAGGTTGATGCCGTTTTTGGTATTCTACAACATCCAACATACAACATAGTGAAAAAGCCATCAACAAAAAAAAAAAATTGGATTGATCTTATATGCCACAGAATTTCCAACCTAAATAGTTTTAATCAAGAGATGAGACCTATTGGATCCGTTCACGAGTCAGTAGGAGGCCTACGAATTCAGGTCTAAATCATCCGAAAAAGGGAAGTTCTTCATAGCCGAAGAGAATCGGAGGGGACCTGATAGTAAATCCATGCCGTTCTGAGCTGAAAAGAAACCAAGTATACTGTTATACTGTGAGATAGTTAAACCCATGTCAGATGGGAATAACGTACCAGGTCAACCTCGACTGCAGGTAAACGGCTTCAGTATGCCAGTATCAGCCTGAAATTGACCATCTATAGCAGTATCAATGCAAGTTGAAGAGGATGTAGAAGGTAGATCTATAGATCCCCCTTCGTCATGCCCTTGTAATGGTTTATTTGCATCACCCGTGTAACCATGACAGGTCAAAGTTGATGCCCACTTTCTATCTAGTCCGATTCTCTGGGGATACTTACTTTTACGATATGTCTTTGCCATTGAATTTGAACACGATGGATCCTATTTCCGCCGAAAACACACTCGCGTATCATGGACTTTGGATGAAATCAACGACCACCGATGGAGTTACTTCAGCGCACACTCCCCCTGATCAAATCAAGTCGCTGATCAGGACCTTTCTTGAGGATATCGGCTTTGATCGCAGCATTCACGTAGTTCAAGACCATGAGATGACAAGGGCGGTTTGGCAGTACTTTCAAAGTCTCGAACTAGGAGAGAAGACTGAGCAATCGGTCCAACAAACCCTCCACCCTTCGGTAAATTTTGCATATCACGGGTATACGACTCTTCCCTTCCAGGTGAGGGTGCTCGGTGCCATTCAATTCCTCTATATGTTTCTAGTGGATGATGTGGCGGAGGAATTCATCGAGGACCTTCAAGCATTTGGTCAGAAGTAAGTCTACAGTTGGGGCTTCAAAAGAGTCTTCGACAACAGACTGATCCCCTTAGCTTTGTTCTGAATCAACAACACAAGCATCCGGTCCTTGCTGGGTTGGATTCTCACCTTCGCAACCTGTCGCATTATTACGGTCCATACTGCCATTCGGTGATGATCAAAGGCATGCTTGATTACATCAATGGTCGTATTATCGAGCATAAGATCAAAGTGTCCAAGTTCCAGTTCTCCTCCGCGTCCCGTCTCATGCCTATGTTCTTAAGAAGCAAGGTCGGGGGCGCAGAGATCATGATCCATTTTCTCTATCCCAATTCTGTCTTTCCCGAAGAGGAATTCGTGATGAAATATTTCCCCGTCACCTTGGAGCTTGTGCTCTTCATTGATTTTACCAATGACATCTTGTCGTATTACAAGGAGTTCTGTCTCAGCAATGAAACAGGCAATTTCGTGTCGAATTTCGCCGATACGCATCATGTCCAGCATGTAGATGTCTTGCGATATCTCACGAGCTATACGCCAGAGGTCGGTTTCCAGGTATTGATCTGTTACGATGGTCTCTTTGGCTGACAATGGACGGTAGGTCATAAAGTCGGCTTATAAACAGCTTCAATCCAATCCTTCGCTGCTCGCTTTGATCAAGGATTTCACGCAGGGAATGATCATGCTCTTCACGGCGCATCGTCGATACCATCTAGTGGAGTTGTTTGCAGAGGAGCAATATTTGCCACCTTATGACGAGGATGCATAGGGGGTTTTCGGTAGTCAGGCATGTTGCCAAAGAAGAGATATCCTCGTTGTGACGGTAACTCAGACTCTGATCTCATCATGCACAGAGAATACCATTGGTCTTAAGAGGGTCCGAATAGCTTGATCCGGTGCCACCGGTTATCTCTTTGGGATTCTTGCACTTAGATCGCGCCATTAGATTTGACAAGGTCCAACATCAGCGTTGCTAAGAGCTTGGGGAGTCTTTTCCTACGGCAATAATAATCAACTTCACAGAGACATGAAGATCTTCCCGCCTACTGTACAAAGTCGGAGATGTCCAATGACATCAGAAGAACCCACCCAATCACAACACTCGTATTTTCTTTCTGCCCCTCTACATTCTCCCTTCTTTACCCCCCATCTCCCTTTCAATTCGAGCAATTCTAGATATCATGTCTTGGTCCCAGAAGATTTTTACCCTCCCCTCCCGCAGCCGTGGCTCCTACCTTATCACCGACCATGTCCTCCAGGAGGTTCCCGAGATCCGCGACTACAAAGTTGGCATGCTGAATCTGTTTGTGCAACACACTAGCTGTGCGCTTTCGCTAAACGAGAACTGGGATGACGATGTTCGCGCCGATATGAGCGATGCGCTAGACCGGATTGCGCCTATGGATAAAAAGGGAAATCTGTATCGTCATTCTGCCGAGGGCGAGGATGACATGCCGGTAGGTGTTTGGAAATAGCAGGGGATTGGAAATTTTTGGGCTTAGATCGCTATCTTCAACCATCGAGCTCGGACTAGCTTCCACGTTTCTTTTAACCGTTTCTCGAACTCAGGCTCTAATGCACCACACAGGCTCACATCAAATCTGCGCTCATCGGCGCGTCGGTCAATATCCCCATCACCAACGGTCGCTTGGCTACCGGAACATGGCAAGGCATTTGGTACCTGGAGTTCCGGACCAGTCGACACAGTCGCAAGGTTGTCGCGACGATCCAGGGACAGAAGGCTGGAACGGGATGGAGCTGAGCGCGGGCAATTGAGAAGTATCCAAGTCCCCGCTACGAATGATGCAAGTTAAAAACAGGGATTTCCGTGGGCGAGACAGTCGACAAATGACCCAGATTATATGAGATCATCATATGGTAGTTGAAGTCGTACACACATTCTGAGGACAATACCATCATCATACACGATCGAAGGGCAGTGCATCCATTCATCGATATTCTGTACACGGCCTCAGGCCCAAAACAAATTGAAAAACGCAAAAAAAAAAAAAAATTAGTGCAACGCCGATTAAAGGAAATCTCATGCTAGTCGCTTATCGCTGCTCCAAGCCACCCTCCGTCACACGCTGGGACTCGTTCACCTCGACGGCGTCACCGGTGGGCTCGAGGGGGTAGCTGGTGGCGGGCAGGGACTCCAAGTAAGCGCGGTGCTTTTCGTTGGCCTAGAGGGATGTTAGCAAAGATCCCATTGGAGCCGAAAAGACGGCGATTATCAATAGAACATACAAAAGGAAGGCCACAGTATCCGCAGGTAGCGATCTCGGGCTTGTCGGTGTTGATGAAAACCCTGGGGTGGCCAAGGGGACCACCACCACCATCACAGCTGACAACCTTGGACTTTGTCCAACGGACGGGCTGTCTGTGAATGAGTTCGATGGCGGCATATGGTTGCGGCTAAAGAGTAGCGTGTTAGTCTCAATTCTTTGATGTTGCCAACGGCAACTGCATAAGCATGGCGATTTTCAATGGATTCGCACCTGGGACTCCATAATTGTCTGCTCAAAGCGAGGTCCAACCATGGCTTTCTCGCGCGGCAGCTGACTGGCGGCCCAGGTGGTAGCACGGTTGGGAGCCTGCATGCTCCGGATGCGCTCGCCAACCTCGGGGGCCTCCTGGAGAGTACCGTCGTTGTGCTGACGGCCAAGTTCCTTGGTAGGCACAGCATTGGTTGCGGAGACATTCGGTGCAGGCTTCCGCGGGGTTGGGTCATTGACTTGGATAGGGTTCTCGTTCAGACGGGGCACGGTGGAGGCGTATGCGCGGACAACGAAACGCGGGCGGGCCGACGCAAAGGTCGCAATTCTGCGGCCACAGGACATCATATTGGGCAAATTTCCCCGGGTTGGTTGGTTACGACGGAGGACACTAAGGGCGTTGGCAAGGGACCAGGTGCTAAGTCGGCACTGAATAATCCGCGAGGTGTGGTTTGGTGAGCAGTCACCGCTTGCTGGTTCGAGAGAGCTCCACCCTACACTTGGGATTTTCTGCCGCATCATTTTATTTTGCGCTTCAGTGAAACTGGTTTGACACCTTTCTCTTTTTTTTTTAATAAAAGAAATTGGCTTTGTTTCCTTTGAGATCTTTCTTTCAAATCCATCATGGTTGGCTCTTCCTCCCCGGCTGGAAAGCCTGAGAAGACCATGTCGTCAAACCTATTGACCATGAAGGTATGAATCACAGTATCTTGACTAACAGCCATGGAAACTAACACTACATCACAGTTTATGCGACGCGCTGCAGCTGCAAAAGAAACTCAAAGTCTATCTTCTGATGACAGCTTACACAATTCCAAGCGCCCCCGTCTCTCCACTGAGGCTGAGAGTCCTCGTACCTCAGATATGGATGCGATCGCGGCGGCACTTGCTGCCGAGGAAGAAAAGCGGCAGCAAGCTGTCGCACGAGCAGCCGCAGAGGCGGGCGAGACACACTGGGTTCTTGATATCCCCACTACACCACAGTCCACTCAGCAGCCTATGATATTGGCGGCAGACTCGCTGGATGCAGATGATGATACCTACTCCGGTGGACGGCGTGCGTATGGCAATTTCAAGCGCAAAGAGCGCAAAGTCAGTATTTAATCTCTCGCACTTGTTACCTCTTACTCATCTTTTTTTCTTAGCCACAAATCACACCACGGAAGGAGGGCAATGAGGATGATGAGGATGACGACGATGAAGATGAAGATTTCATAATCAACCCGTCGAATCCACAAGAAGTCGCTAAAATGATGGAAAGGGCCAGATGCAAGGCGGAAGCTAAAGCGAGAGCAAACAGACGACAGACAAAACTATCTGAACTCACCAGTATATCTGGTTCTGGCCGAGGGTCGTTGTTGGGAGCCCCATCATCTGACAAGAAGAAGAAGAAGAAGCGTAAGAGCTACTGAATGGATGATCTCCCACGAGATATCCAATTCAGATTTTTGATTGGCGTTTTTAGCATAGCATAAATGGCGTCTTGGGGTTCCATTAATCAATTCCTTTGCAATATCACCTAGTCGTAAATGCCTAGCTATCACGGTAATCCTCTGCATCATACCAATTTCAAGGAAGATCTAAAGCTCATCTCAACTCTACTACTCTCATTGAGGAAACATCGGAAAGGAATCTTCCCATTCTTATCCCGCCTCTTCGGGATCGATTTTCATGTGTTCGCCTTGCTGAAATGCACAGAGGGCAGTCGCTAAGTTCCGAGTCGCCTCAGGGCTTGTGACAATATGCCCCAAGGAAAGCGGCACACACTATGCAGAAGCCGTCCATGTTTTCCTCCCCAAGACAAAAGGTTGAATTCTTCACCGTTGACAAATGCGTTCGAGAGTAGTAGGATCATCTAGACTTTAACGGGGGAATCGAAGTAAGTATTACGCATTCTACTTCTAGTACAAACTTGCAATCCAAACCAACCAATGGTAATAACAAGAGTACGCTTGGTGTAGTGCACCTTCGCGTAATCTTGAGCCAGCTCATCCCAGACAAAAATCAATGCACATTGTATGCACTAGGCCTTAGGCTCTGCTAGGGGACTCCACTGGATCTTAGCTGACCCTTCCCCTGCTTAAAGCGTTGTAAAGCAGCGGGCAAAAATCACTATACATGGAGATACCTAAGTAGCGAATGGCGGTTCTCGACAAGAGGTAAGTAGGAACCCCCCCCCCATCATAGCTTCGCCTTCTCCTCCTGCTTCCGCTTCTCCCATCCTTTCTGCGTCGCAAAATTCACGATCAAATTCCATGCAGCAACCCCAAACCCAACCGGTGGCACAACCAACAACGTCCAAGCCCACCATCTCGGACTTGATGCCGCAATACTAGCCATAGCCCCCTTAACAGCAACTTCCAGCTCCGCCTTATCAGCATCATTCCACAACACGACCCCGCGCCCTGTCGTCGTCCCCCGGAACTCGGCCTGCGTCGCTTTCGTCCGAACATCCCCCTGACTCCGCACCCGGTTCTCTGCATCCTCGGCTGTAAGATGCGCATCTCGGGCGCGCAACCGCGCCGTTTGGATCTCAGGATCGTGAACGCCGACCACAATCACTGTCCCGCAGATCAGATCCATCCCACTCTCGAACAGGAGCGGCACATCCAGGACAACTGCCCATTGCCCGCGCAGGTAGTGGTAGATCAGGGCTTTGTAGACTTCCCACCGTACGGCGGGGTGGACGATGCCGTTGAGAATTTGTCGGTCACGTTTGCGTTCTTCTGTGCTGCCGAAGACGCGTCGCCCCAACGCCGGCCGATTCAGTGGTTTTCCATTCACACTTGTGGGCGCATTTTCTAATAGTAGGTCTGGTGTGCTGGGGCCGAAATAGTTGACGATTGCTTTGTAGCCTGCGGTGCCAGGTTCGACTACTTTGCGGGCGAGAAGATCGGCATCGATTACTGGGAGCAAGTAGGGTGGCGTGGAGAGGATAGATGAGACTGTTGACTTGCCCGTTGCTATGGAGCCAGTCAGTCCGATAATCAGCATTTTGCCTTTGAAGAGAGGAGAGATTGGCAGCGTTGTCAAGTTGTCGATGTCAAAGTTGCGAATGCGGGGGATACCAAAAAAAAATAAGCCTCGGCTCCGCATTAGGCATGTCTTCATGTACGTCATATCATCTACATATGCTCCGTACATATATGTATGCACTAGGAGATTCTGGATTCTCCGGATCCAACCAAACAGCTTCCAGAGACTAATTTGCTCTACGTTTGAATTATATCAATCTTTGGGGAATTCTTGCGATACCAGTTGCAACCGGCGGATATCCTCCACGTACACTTGCAGATTCATGAAGCAGAGCAAGGCGCCTAATCCAAGGCATTGAAAAGAGATGCCGGCTTAAGGAGCTAATTTCTTCAATCCAAGAGTTTAAGTTTCCGGTAATCCATGTGAAGGGTCTTGTGCCTGGCCCTTCCATCCTATCTCCGGCCAACCCTTGGGCAACGAGGAGAATGGTGGTAGGGAGTAGCGCTCATCACAGCCACCTTCCCATGGGCAGGTCAGATCGCACAGTCCAAACACTTTGCAGTAGCACACCTTCGCATTGGGGCAATGCACAGGGTCCTTTCCAAATATCACTGAAGGGAAAAAGGTCAGCTTTCGATCTGAGCCAAGGGGACTTCAGGGAAAACACGTACTATGCCATGAATACTCCATAATTCGTCCACTCAAATCATCCTCTAGTGGTGTGTCCGCCAGCCAGGTGCGGAAGCGCTCGTAGTCACTGCGCGGCCGTTCTAGCACCTTGGTGCGGGAGGCACCAAATTGCGCGCAGCACGACACGCCTACCTCCTCCGGGATTGGGATACCAGGGAATAGCTCCATGAATCCATTCTTGAAGTATTCGCCGGCGTGTACGTTGCTGCGATGGGTGTCGGTAAGAGGACGGATTTCTATCGGGCATCCGAGAGTCCAAACACATCTTAGATTGACGTATCCTTGCTCTTGTATGTATGGGATCTGGACGTTTCGGAGTGGTGGGATGCCGTCGTAGTATGGGTCGTCGTTGTGCCATTGGTAGCGATTCGAGTGGATGAAGAGCATTGTATCAGGTAGGTCATCGTAATTGTCGATAATGTATCTGGTTCAACAGTTCCAGTCAGCACAGGGTACTAGAGGTAAAAAGGCAACACACATTGCGTGTTGGACTCACGTCAAATATACCATCGACTCCCGGCCTTTGTTGCGCATCACCGTCAAGGGTGCGTGCTTGTCATCCACCACGTAGATACTTTTCGTCCAGTCGGGGAAGTATTCTAATAGCCATGACGTGTCATCACTTTTCATGCTGGCCACGACCATTTCCTTGCGCCTCGGTACAGCAGGACGAGCCAGCTCGTCTGGTTGTTTTGTCGACCCATGCTTCTCCGCATAGCTGCCTGTGTTGGTCTTCACGGGGGACTTTGTTGTCGAGAAGAACAAAAGGTACAGGGCGATGACGATGAAGATGGTTAGGAAAATAGCCTTCATCCGACTACGACGTCGGGGGCCATGAGGCCCACTAGGAGCGAACAACATATTGGATGAAGGGCACTCTGCCCGGGTGGTCAAGTCATTGGAGGGGGGGGGGGGGGAGAATTGATAGTTAACGGGAAATCAAGGCCCCGGGAAGACAAGTACGAAATCCTTGCAATGGTTATCAGATACTAGATGAAATAATCAGATACTATTTCATCTAGCATCCGTCATCTGTGTAGTTACTCCGCGATGAATCTTGTAATTGTCAGAGACATCTGGAGGTCGACGTGTTGCAAGTTGAAGTTCTCCACCAAGGCCAGGCTCTGCGTTATTAATATTTTGGCACTACACTAGAATTGTAGCAGCCATTAAATACCCAAAATCAAGCTTCCTGGTTGATCAAGAGAAGATATGTTACAGTATCCATTAATTGTTATATTACATATAGATCGAATTAGTTAGAAATACACACATCTGAGTGTCTAGACACACCCCACCTACAAATTCACCTAGCGGCATGCATCAATATGCCCCAAATACCAATAATGATCCTCAATACTCGGGTCGAACGTCCCCGCATTTCCAGCCATCGAGCCTATGCCTTCGATGACATCGATATCGGACGAGGTCACTGTCGTATCGTCGCCAACGGTAATCCAGTACTCGGGACTGGCGTGGCTAAAACCAAAATGTGAAGGTGGCACCTTAGGCACCAAGTCATCATGATGCGTGACGCGCCAGAGACTGCCCTGGTTTGTGATATAATCAGCCAGAGCCGCATTGCCTACCCGTGGCTGGCCATAAGTGTACTATAATCTGTGAGCGCACACCATTATGAAGGATTGCGATTTACTTACCACGTCCAGTTCGAATCCTGCATTTCGAAGGATAGTACCTCCCAACGTAGCAAGAGCTCCGCCAAAGCTGTGGCCTGTCACGACAAGAGTATGATCTGGGTATTTTGTCTGTGCGGACTTGATATTGGATGTCAGATCGTCCGCGACAGTCTCCCAGGATTCCAAAAACCCGCTGTGGGCTTTACAATTGCGGCATATACTACTGGCATTGGTCATGCCAAAGTTGAGGTTGGCGATCCAAGTCTTTAGTGTGCGAGTACCCCGGAATGAGACGACAAGTCGCTTGTTTGTTTTGTCTACCGCGAGGAAGCCGGCAACATCACCATAGCTGGACGGCCTGATAGTTGTTCCTATGTCAGCAAACAGTTGGTTGATTTGGCTTTAAAAATGGGTTTCATACTTATCAAACGCATATAGAGTCATTGTGTCAGCGGCCTCCACCAATGGACAGTTGCCTGCCTCGCAAGATAGCCCATCGCCGGCTGAGTCGTCATTGTTCAGGCAGTATGACGCCGCAGCCCACTGGGAGAATAGGGTTAATTGATCAAACAGACCACCTGACACATCTGTTGCTCATTTGGTCAGTAATCGACCTGGAAATTTTTTAAATTTTTTTTTTGCGAGCGCAGTTGCGTACCTCGAGGAACCGAACGAGAAGGAGCAGCAACCGCCAACGCCGCAAGAGCAGCGATACTCCAAAGCCTACCAAGCCGAAGCATTATGGAGATCTCTGGAGTAGGGCTTTCTCAACGGCGAGTGTGCGCACACACACCTTGATATAGCCATGTAGACGGATCCATATGGATCCCAAAATCCTTCGCAAATCGCGACATCTTCGAGGAGCGGGGTACAATGCCCATTCTCCCGTAGATTAAAATTTTTTTTCGGACTCAGCTGTATCACCGGTTCCATGGCGCAAATTTCACGGGGGACCGGTGGGATTCCGTTGAGATCAACATTGAATTCTTGCAATTGTTGAGTTTTGTCACTCACCCCTGAGAAATCTCGCGTGATTGGACGATTTTTGGTCTGCATATTAAGATAGCGGAGTCGTCCATCCAGAACGAGGTTAGGGCTGGGAGAGGGGCTCAGGGGTACCTTGCAGGGGAGTGTGTCCAACGATGATTGTTTCTCCAAATGCGATAGCAAGTTCCGTTTAGGTGACCATTTGGGTGAACATTTTGGGCTTTTCGCATTTCGGGTCAACGGACGGAGTAGGTTTCAGGGTTATTGATTGGTTTATGCGTGGGGACATTGCCAGGTGTTCAACATTATCTGAAACGGAGTGTAGATTGCCGAAGAGTCGAATGTTTGTAGAAGAAATTCCAGCCATCCACTTCCACCCGTGATCGTAGCAACATACCCTCAAGGCTTTGTATGTTTTGAAGTCAATCTCGAACTACGGTACTCCGTATATATAAACAGGTGTGATCATTTGAAGCGTAAATTTGATTCGACTGAGTCCATTCCATTTTCAATGGTGGAGTTGTTTTTTTTTTGACTTTTTTGGACTTTTCTCTCTCGAGGCCTCGGAAAAAAAAAATTTCTCATTGTGGGGGAGTCCCGTCCTCGATTTCCAGTCACAACCCGTATCTGGTTTATCATTTGCTGCCAGCAAGCAACCTTGGTCTCCAGTGACACTCGGTGCCCAGGTCCAAAGCGGGGCTTGGTCAGCATTTCTCATTGTTATTGGAATAACTTTCCACTACTGGTGGGATTCAATCTTCATTCCCTCTTCAACACCAGTCATACCGGTGTCCTGTCCATCGTCCCCGTCTGCACCGTCACCGTTAACAAGGACTCGGGGAGGGATGGTGTAACCGGGAGGCAACGGGGTGCCAGGAGTCACAGCAACAATGTTGTCGTTCTCATCGACCATCTCGAAGTTATATCGTGATAGGAGATGTGGAATGGCAGAGAGTTGAGGGCCATAGCGAGCAGTGTTGTCATACAACTCGAACAGCGGCACAGCGAGAAGTTTCATGTTTTTCGGAACGGAGAGAACCTCTATTAAAATTGGGTCAAGTGTAAGTAATCTTTTACTGGGGCAACCATCATGGTGGGTTAGCACTCACTCTTCTTGGGGAGGCGAATAAAGTACAACTTCTTGCATTCCTTGGGGCGAGTGACATGTCCAGGAAGGAACGGATACATAAAAGTCTCGAAGTTGGGTCGCCACCATTGCGCAAGTGTGTCGCTGATTTCCCAGTCATCGTTCACACCTTCACCGGAGAACTGAGATCCCACAGGTGCGAGACGCTCATTCAGTCGTTTCTTGAAACCTTCAATCTCGTCATCCTCGTGGTGAAGATAGTCGCCTGGCCTGAAGACTATTAGCAGTGGATTGTGAATAAAGGCGTATAAACAATAGAGAACTTGCAGTTTAAAGAATGCATTGGCAATCTGCAGCATCAGCACATGGGGGTGATTGTGCTCGTGGCACACCAGGATTCCCTCACAAGTCCGTCGCATCCCATGGAGGCCATAATGTTCCTCGAGGCGCTTCAGCCGTGCTAGAACCGAAGGATCCTCTTCGGGTTGTGTTTCCTTGGTGCCGAAGGTATAGTTCGACAAGGGGTACAGGCGGACAGTCTCCGGCTGCTGCGCGGTAAAGTCCTTAGGGACGGTGGGCCTAGAAGTCATCGGGTCAGACTAATCTATTCAAAAATTGAATTATCAAATGACATGTTTATCTGGAATACTGACGGAAGTCCACTGACAGGGACATCCTGTGTAGTAGTAGCCATGTTCGACGGACCGTTAGTTGTTGTATTTGCGAACAACAACATTCAGCTTTCCCCAAGCTTACTTATCGCTTATCGTCTTCACGGCGAGTGATCCAGGTCTCGGGAGAACGATATCCCGAGAGAGGAGGGTGGATTATCCGATGTCGAATCCGGAAAAAGACTTGGGACCGCTACGATGCAGTCCATATATGGAGTACCCTGCCACGACATCCCGGGTGAAAACTACGCTGATGTATAATAGATATGAGATTCTTTCAAATTCATACAACGAATTGATTACAGAAGAAGCTGTGACCTACACACTCATGATGGATGACCACTGGTTACCAGAATTGGTATTACTAGCAAAAAAAAGCGAGTATGTGCTGATCCATTGGCGTAGTTCTCGCCCAGGCTGTTGTAGCAAGGTAGTGTTGTGTTTAGTCAGCTTTGTCGGCATTAATGACAACAAGGACCATAGGTGGGCAACACTGAAGAATCTACGCTAACATTGAAACAATGTTGAAATAGAGACCCAATCCCCCCAAAAATCATGGATGATGCTAGAATCCTTTGATTGTACAAGTCCCTAATCGCAAGAATGCCCTGATAAATAGTGTAATGCAGTAGAATCTTCTCTAGGGCTGATTGAGTAACTTTCGTCATTTCTTCCCCTTTCCCCGAATGGAACCAGTTCTACAACGCAACGCGTTTAAACGTAATTCGTTTGATTATTCTCCATCTCTGGAACTTTACTATATCTTCCAATTGATAAACACCTCAACTCTCAGATTCATGCAACCGTTTCCGCCCAACACCAAACCGTCCCGACACAGATACCATTTATAGCTTGGCATCAAAATCTTCATACTCACTCAAATCCGTGACAGAAACAGGGCCAGTGCTAACAGGCAGACGGGCCTTGAAGCTCGGCACATCAGTGATAACCACGGCCTTCTGAGCCTCGCCATTGCCAGTGGTCGCACTCTGAGTGTCACTGCTAGAACCAAGACCCAGTTCCTTTAATTGGGAACTGAGCTTCTCATCCAGTGTCTCAAGGACAGGTTCTATCTTCTGCTTTGACAGGCCCGTCTCGGTCGCCAGGAAGTCCTTCACCGCAAAGATAACCTGGGACTTGTCCGCCGCTGTCGCGTCAACCTCATCGAATGCCTTCGCGAAGCGGGCAGAATCCACGATGAAGTCAGCAGCTTCGAGGTGCTCGGTAACGACTTCGACAAGGCGTGTTCTCTGTTCGGCTGGGTTGGGCGCCTCAACCTGCGCGCCTGACTGGGCGTTCATATGGATAGCGAGCTTGGCGCGCGTTGCCGAAGATGGGTCGATGTATTGGCGGTAGAATGCAATGAGATCCGCCTTGGTCAAGGTGCGCACATTATCCGCATCGGTCTCATGCTGCAGGAAATCAAAGTATTCCGATCCGATGTGCGACCAGTACCGGCCAGTCTCAGAGCTTAGATTCTTGAGTTTCTCCAGGCGCTTGTTCACGACACTACGCTTGTGACCCTCGAAGTCTTCTTCGGGCATCTTCTCGAGAATAGGACCGAACTGGCGGAGGAAAGTGTCAATGCGCGATTCCAGATATTGTGCCGTGCGCTCACTTTGGATAATGACCCGGTAGCCCAGGGTGGTGGCGTTGTAGCGTGCACCACTCCACACCACATACCCAAGCTGTTCCTTGCTGCGCAGCTGGTCGAAAGCAGGTTCGTCAGTTAGCTGCGCAAACAGTTGGAGCTTTGACCGCAGGACGTCATCGGAAAAGAGTCCAATATAGAGGTAGTACTCGATGCAGTGATTGACGTTGGCCGGATCCTTAAGTGAGCGGGGGTAGACATAGTTGGCACCGGGCGGCAAGGTCATGTTGCGGCGCAAGTACCACTGCGACGGGGGCAGAGGACGGCCCCCCAGGATCTTTTCGATAGAGTCCGTCATACGCAGAGCATCCTCCTTGTACAGATTTCCGTGGGCCAGAACTTCGATGTGGGTCTGTTCAAGCAACTGGGGGGAAAATTTGACCACGTCATCGCACTCAACATGCTCCAGCTCCTCAAGATACTGCTCGTTCACCCAGCTGCTCTCGGCAAGGAGGTAGCGAGTGTAATCCCCCACCTGGTAGTAAGGCTGTTGATACTCGGCGTTGCGGAATGCCCGCGTCAAGCGCTCTTTGATAATGTGGAACCGATCCTGGTCGATCACTAGCCCACGCATTGTATTGAGTACTTTGTCCAAAAGAGCGGACATCTTGTCGTTGTACCCGCTCACGGAAATGTCCAAGCCCAAAATGTTCGCCGAGAGGTGGTAGTCCAAACCAGCAAGCTCCGCGTCGTAGGAGTATTCATCCAATGAGTCTCGCACCAACTCGCTGTACAGCTTTGTTTTGATGAGATTGGCGGGTGTAGCCCACACCAAAGGATTGCGAAGTGTTACCTCAACAGTGGCCTTGGGTACCCAGAAACGGTCATCCTTCTTGAACCACAGGCGCACCCGGTCGTCGTGGCGAATCAGTTTAGGGGTGTTCTCGGGCTCGGCAACCTCCTTCTTTTCCACCGATAGCCTAGTCGGCACAAATTCGTTCTTGTGAGGCAAGTGCACGTTGGAAGTGCGGGTAGCCTCAGTCGACTTTAGAGCCTTCTGAAGACCGCCCAAGAACTCCTTTGGGATTTTCTCGACCTTGTATTCCGTGCCATACCACTTCTCTTTCTGATCCCATGTACCGGGGAACTCCTGGGACACAACGACCAGGCGGAAGTTGTCGGCCCGCAGATAGCTCAGCGCCTTTTTGATCAAATCAGAGTCAAATCTTCGCAACAAAGACCCGCTCAGTAGCCATTCACTAGGTATTGACTTCTGCATCACGCTGCTCAAACGGCTGGTGAAGCGACTAGCCGGGGTCTTCTGCTTGAACCGGAAATCGACCTCGGCAAGGTTCTTCATCTCGTCGAAGATCCATTGCTCGGGCTCGCGCTGCTTGATCATAGCGATATACTCGAAGACAACATTTGCGACTTCCTGGTATTGCTTCAGACCTTCGGGCGTCAGGCGCACCGAGATTGTGAAAAAGGCTGACCCAGCGCAGACAGGCATCGCGCCTGCAGACAGACCATTGGCCCACCCCTTGGCCTTAAGATAAGAAAGAACGCTGCCCGGGCCCTCATGGCCAATGAGATGGCTGATATACCGACTAGGCTGGGTGTCATGCAAATCCTCTTCATCAAGGAAGGGGAAGTACATATCCATGGATCGAGTATCCATGACCGGCTTCACGAACACCTGGGTGCACATTTCCTTCTCAGTGAAGGGCTGAACATCGTCCCAGCGGTTCTGAGCGAGATTCTTATTCTCGACATCAGAAAAGAGCTCAGAGACCCACTGTTCCAGCGTGTCGAGAGACTCCCGCCCCAAGACAACCAACTTCGCCCGGTTGGCCGAGTAGTGCTTCTCATAAAACCTGATGAACTCACTGCGGACTTCCAGACCACGTTTCTGTGGTTCTTCTTTCAAGGTCTGCAGATTGCCGGTTGAGAAGTGGCTGTAGGGGTGTTTAGGGTTCGAAAGCGACTTGTTCAGTTGCATCAAACGCCACAGGTCACTTTGAAGGTTCTTTTTATTTTCCGAATCCACCGCCTGTAGCTCCCGTTCTAGGGTTGACTCTAGGAACAGTGGTGCAACAAAGAATTGGGCAAACCGATCCAATGCACCATAGAGGGGTGACTTTCCATCTGAACCAATCCCATTCGACACGATGCCATTGTTATCATTCGTCTCGGCAGGGGTGTTGTCTTCACTAGATTTAGGGGCACTGGAGTCACCTGTGGCGGACACTTCGAAGAAGTAGTTCGTTTCGGTGGCGGCTGTGTAGGCATTTGACGAACCAGAGTGGGACGCTAGGTACTGGTTGTACGCATTTTCCTTCGGATACTAGACAATCATGATCCCGGTTAGCATTGACCTCGGTTGGGAAGATGGTGTTAGGTTGTTCGTTTACCTTTTTTGTGCCCATGAACAGCAAGTGCTCTACTGCATGAGCCATTCCTGGCATATCATCTTCATCGGAGAAATTGCCCACATTGACATTGACGGCGGCACTGGCCTTATCGGTGTCCGGGTCATGAACTAGGAGGGCCTCAAGCTTGTTTGGCAAACGGATCACTCGATAAGAACGATCATCAAGCTCCGGTTTCTCCAAGTTCTCTGTAATACGCTCGATTTGAGCCATGTTCGGAGGTGTGGCGGTGAAATTAGAAGTTGAATGGGAGGATGAACGGCGGGTCCAATGCACGGAAGAAAGAATCGGTAAAGGTACGGCCCGTACTGAGCGAGGACTGGTTACAGCGATGCGTAACAACAAATCGGGATAAGGGCGTGTTGAGCTGCGAATGAGACCTTTGTGACACAGGTTTGCTGCAGAGGACCTTGGAGGCATTCAGTTGCCAAGGGGAGAGGCCAATGACGTGACTAACAAGGTCAATGCACTTTGGAATTCCAGGAAGCTCAAATATGAGACGCGTTCTTGATATGATTCGATATATATTTTGTGAGATTATACACCGAATGAAGGGGAAGAGATGTTGTAAGGTCAATTGAGGGACAGGCGATATTGATGAAGCCTGCCCTGGTGGAAATACTGCCCAGATGCTTTGCCGAGGCGGTGATAGGTCATCGTAGCCCTAACAAGCGTCTTGTCACCAAAATGTTATCTCTATACCAAGGCAGACTCGTGTCTAACAGGATTGCACTTTGTTTATACTCAAAAAATACGGCATCGTTCTCCATTGTCATACTAGCTACATACATATCAGGGTTCTAACTGGTTCCACGTCGAAGCTCCTCCTTCCCCGCAGGTCGGGAGGCCAATTCACACATGCCCACCGTTACGTCGAACTATCACATGAATTTAGAGCCAGGCGCTTAGCACTCGGCTGTAGGGAGGTTCACGTTTACTTAAGTGTCCGATTTGCAGTCAGTAGTCTGGCTGCCGCCGGGGTTTGACATCCTTCGCCCGGCAG